GCGTAAATTTCCTAGTCCCTTCCCACATAGTCTAGGGGTGAAGCGCGTGCCTTCGGATTGTCGAGTTGAGGTCTCGACCGGAATGTTAAATTTTGATATTTAAGGTTTTGAACGGTCCGACTATTGTTTGTCTGCCTACTTTTCAGGTTGCTATCGAAAGCGTGGTTTTTATTCTGATTCAAGCAATTTTAAAGTGAAAATTGTTGTAGTTTTAGTTCACTAACTCTCATTTATATAATTTTCTTTTCACTTTATTTTTCCTTATTACTCTCTGCTTGTGTTAGATCGGTTGCAAAATTTTATTAAACATCGTTTCAAGCGAATAATATATAATTATCCTTGCGATTAGCAAAGGTATTGTAATGGGGTTTCTTCATCGACTTTTTTCCCCCGTAAATAACTTACCTTGATTCATAATGAACTCAAATTTTTAACCGTTTCCTAGAGGTGACGAATACGCCTCGGGAGACAAAGGTCCAGGGTTCCAATAGGGCTAGGACCTATTTTGTTTGAAACGGTAAATATTCCTGTTCAAAAACATTTCGGACTTATTTGTCTGCTTGTTTTGTCGGCTTAGTAGCCAGATCTAAGAATGCTTTGTTTTTGCTGTAAACAATTATGTCGCTGTAGTTGGTTTAATTCTTAAAGCTTTTTAAAAATCTGGCCGAATCGAATTTTTTACATTGGTTGTAGTTTTACCAATTCGATTTGTTAAATTTTTTTTTCAGTTTCTTTCTCTTTTTTTTTCGGCTTAATCGGTTTTGGCTGTTTTTATTGACTTGTTTGTCTCTTATGTAGTAGTAGTAGTAGTAGAATAGGCTTCAGAGCATTAGCTCTAGGGAATTTCACCCCTTTTACAGTCCATGTTTTATCTCAGTTTGTTGTAAACATTGCAGTTTCCACATCTGCATAAGAGTTTCCATGTACATTTGTTGACTTCACTGTACATTTTTTTGAAGTATTTCTGGTATATGTAGGTCAGAGTCGCTTTGCTTGGTCTACGGCTAAAAGTTGGGCAGGCTCGGATAAGACAGTTGTATAGATGTTTCACTCGTCTGAAAAAATTGTCGTCCGTTCTTTGCAAGCGGCTTTTTGGGATTTGAAATTCGCCTCTTGATGACTGTCGGGTGATTTCGCATGATTCAGATGGTTTTCGTTCTATTTCTACATCGTAACGATTTTCAAGCAGGGCTATTAGTATTAAAATGTCGTGCATTTCCATGTATAGGTTCAAAGGAAGAAGGTTCAGGTCCTTCAGTCTTTCAGTATAAGTTTTGCTTGTCCCCAAAATCCATTTTGTTGCTAACTTTTGAACTCGTTCGAGTTGTTCCATGTTCGATCTGCTAGGAGTCCATGCTTGGGATGCGTATGTTACTATGGGTACTACATACCCAGTATATGTATTAAGCCTGGTGGTCACACTGCTTTTCATAGTCAGACTTCGTTTAATCTGGAAGAGAGCACTAATTGCTTTGGATGTCCGACGAGAGCAATTTTCGTTCCATGTGAGCTTGTTGGACACAATCAGTCCTAGGTCACGCTGTGAGTTTACTGAGGAAAGATTTTTGTTCAGGAGACTAGCTTTTAAATCACCTTTGATGCCGAGGAGCGTTGATTTTTTGATGTTGGGTTGCATTTTGTTTCCATGTAGCCATTTCTCTATTTTCAGAGGTGCAGTGTCAAGGGAAGTTTGATTTAGTAGAATGGCCTTAAAGTCATCTGCGTACCCAAAACTGTCTGTGTCTTTCATGGTTTCAGGTAGATCGTTTATAAAAAGTAAGAACAGCAGCGGTCCCAGAATTGAACCTTGCGGAACTCCACTGGTGACTTCTTTTAGGGTTGAGCGACAGGCTCAATCTTAATGCATTGCTTTCTGTTGTTGAGGTATGAATATATCAGTGACAGCAATTTCCCCGCCAATTCCAAAAATTTTGATCTTCGTAAGCAGAATATCATGAGGTACAGTGTCGAATGCCTTGGCAAAATCCAAGTATAGAACTGCAAGTTCTTGTACATCCTGTTGATCGTTCAATTCGTATATTCGGTCAAGAAAAAGAAGAAGTTGAATTGTGGCGGATCTAGGCTTTCGAAATCCATGTTGACTTTCATGTAATCTGTATTTCACTTTAGTATAGAGTTTGTCAAATATTATTTTTTCAAGTAATTTTGAGCAGCAGCAGAGTAGGCTGATTGGTCTATAGCAACTGACATCGGTTTTACTTCCTTCCTTGAAAACAGGGGTTACTTCACTAATTTTCCATCTTTCAGGAAAAATTCCTTTGTTAAGGCAGGTTTGAAATATAAGGGTAAGTGATTTGCTTAGAGTTTTGTGACATGATTTCAAAATGAGATTGCCAATGTTGTCGTGTCCCATTGATTTATTGACATTAAGTTGCCTCATTATTTCGCTAACTTGACTTTGGTCAACAATAAATCTATTCAGCTCACTTTTAGAGGATACCGGTTTGATGTTCTTTTGTGCCAAACACGCTGACGAAATAGTCATTGAATAATTCACATTTTTCTCTTTCATTTGATGATTCAGTGTTTCCGTATTTGACCGTCGAAGGAATTGTTGGAGTCTTGCGTATGCATTTAAGGTATTTTTGATTTTTGCTGAAAGTTCTTCCTTCTAGGACGGTTTTTTCATATTCCGCTAGGTCATCTTCGGAAAACCTTTGAATATCTTTTTCAAGTTTTTTGATCTTTAATAGTCTTTCGAGACCTTGTTTTGGTTTTCTTTTCATTATGATGAGGTGGGAGGTGGCTGGCGTGATCCAGGGTTGTAACCTTGATCGATGCTCAGTTATTCTAGGTACAAACTTTTCGATTTTTTCCCACAGCCATTCGTACCATTGTCGGATAATTTCGTTCACGTTACTGTAGCAGTACGGGATAAACGGTTGTTTCTGTTGAACAATTTAAGCTGTCCCAGTCTGCTCGTTTGAAAGCATATCGATGATTTGTTATTTTTGGAAGGTTAATGCAGCTAAAGGCGGCAATTGTGGTGTAGAGTGGTTTGTGGTCAGAGAACTGACTAGTTAGTTTATCTCGAATATTCCTGTCGATTTGACATTGTGAAAATAATTCTGGATTGTCGCAAAGCAGCACGTCTAGTTGAGTTGGTGCATGTTGTGAAAGATTTAGTTCAACTAATTTGTCCAGTAGTTGACTCTCGTATATGTCAGATGAGGAGAGTGCTTCCCAGTATGTTTGTGAGAAGTTGATGTCACCGGTGAGTATTAAGTCACAGAGGTCATTTTTGTTGGCTAGTTTGAGATTTGCCATTTCATTCATCAAAGTTAAGAAACTTTCAGTGGACCATTGGTATGTGCTAGGAGTGGGTGCATTATAAACACAGCTTAAGATAATTGATCTTTTATTGGAATGTATTTCTATGATGATATAATCAGACTTGAGACTCTCAATGGAATGTAAGTCATGTGAGATTTCATTTTTGATGGCAATGAGTACACCACCGTGCTTTGTTTTTCTGTTATCTGATGTTTCCCGGTCATTGCGATATACTTGATAGTTCTCTAGGAAGAGCGAGGCAGTTGTTACGTCTTTTGTGAGCCAGGTTTCACAGAGACAGATAATATCGTATTCTGAGTTTGCTATTGCGTTTGACAATTTCTTTCTCCTGTTTATATCCAGGATACTTCTGGTGTTGAATGTCAACATTTTCATCGGTCTTAGTCATCCGGTAATGGCAACATCACCAGCTTGGTCTGCATTATTATCGGTTTCCTGGGAAGTTTTACTTTCTTCGTAAACAATCCATTTTTCGTTTTCTTTCAATTCTAGTTTAAGATTTCTGATTTTTATCTTGCTCGGGTCGTGATTTTTTACTATCAGCTCCCTCCTTTTCTTGAGACAATTGTTTTCCTTTTCGGCATCCGCCTTGGATAACTCGGGACTGATGAAGACCCGAAGTTCCGAGAAGTCTTTTAGTTTGGAAGTCGATTTTAGGATCAAATTTTTACTTATGCTACTCTCGGTGTTGAACAGCAGGGTACGAGGCCCCTTATCGGGATTGAATTTTCCAATCCGAGTTGCCTTGGATAATTTTCGGTCGTCAATTTGGAGGAATGCAAGTATTCTGTCGATTGTCCCGAGATCTTCTTGCATTCGTTCAATGTCGCTTTTGTCTTTGCTTTCGGGAACACCGCGTATTCGGATACCAAGTTGAGCTTTTGGTACAGTTGGCGAATTAACCACTCTTCCTGGGCTTACGTTTCCCACGGCTGCTCGGAAATTGTAGGGTTTTTCTTTAAGTGTTTTCATATCGGCTTGTACTTGAGTGATGACAGTGCTGGATTGCTCCATTTTTTCGGTGAGAACCTTCATTTGTAGTTGCAGGTTATCAAGTTGTTCGTCAAGTTTGTTACTTGTTGTAGTTTTGTTTTTGACAAGATCGTCACGTTTGGGTTTGCAGTCATTGCAGATGTGGAGGAGGTTATCATTCAGTTTGTTGAGGACTTTGACTTCATCGTTAGTGAACATAGTGCATTCGGGGGATAGATGTAGGACCTTGTCACATGTATAACATGAGAACTTAGGTCCCATTTTGAGTTTTCTGTTACAGATGTTGCCGTTTTCTAGCATTTTGATTAATGTTCGCTTGTAGGTTTTAAGGGTGTTTTCTTGAGATGATGTGATAAACTTATAGAACAAATACTAGATCGAAGTAGTAATAGAGATAGAGATAGGTTAAGTCTTAGAGTCTAAGACCTGGACAACAAAGTCCAGTTCTTAGTCAGGGGATATAAGACCGGGACAACAAAGTCCAGTTCTTAAATTGGGGAGAAAAGACCGGGACAATGAAGTCCAGTTCTTAAGAGGATATAATTTCGCAATTGGTCAGCTAGTTGGATGAGTTCCTGATCGTCACTGTTCTTCGGGTGAAGGGCGTGATATAGAGAACTTGCACCAATAATGTGGATCATTGAAAAATGAGGCAACCACGGCTACCTCGTAGAAACATATGACCTGAAACTATTTAATAAGTTTATCACAACAATTAGGCTAAATGTGATGACACAGCTTAAGCATGGCGTCGTTTGATGAACGAATGGCGTCGTTTGATGAACGAAAATGTTTTAGTGTGCGTATGTTTTCTGAGAAGGGAGAACATTTTTTTCCGACAGGAAAGGTTTCTGCTGAGGTGTTTTCTGGTTTGTTACCGCTTGGTCAATTTTGTTCCTATGCTATTTTTGCATTTTTTTGTCTGGGCATGCTTTTTCAAAACTATCTTCATTCATTTTGATACATCTAGTTTTTTTATCGATAGTTCGAATTATTATCGATAGTTAAATTATCGATAGTTCGCTTCAAAATCGATATTATGATTTTTCGGCTTTCGATTAAGCTCTCGATTTAATTTGCGAATTGAGTATTACAGCTTGATTTCAGTACATATATAGCGTTCGTGGATATTATTTTGGCAGTACTTGTATTTTTTCAGATAAGATTTTGCGTCACATTTTTGGTTGGTTTTCAATTAATTGGCTGTCGGCTTTATTGGTTTACCTAAAATTTCAGTTTTTGAATTTAGTCCCCAAATTTAATGTTTTTGAATGCTCATATTTAACGCCACTTGGAACTCTTAAAAAATCTAAATATATTTCAACATTAAAAAATAACTTGATTTTCATTTTTTTGTTATTCTAGCTGTTTCTTTAGCAATAACAATTGTTCGAAGTCTTCTGTGATATTTTTTGAATGTCTCGCTGTTTTAATCCTATAGTTATTGTATCGCGAGTGGTACGAAGCTCAGCTTCGCCTCTATGTTTTGATTTTGATACAGGAGGGGTGTGGCGTAAAAGTTTCGAGTTTATAAGTTCATGCTTTTCATTGTTTCCGGACATTTGTTTCCCGACGAGCGTCAAGGTAAAACGAGAAAAACGTTTTTCTATCCGCTATCTTGCTATGCAATGTATCACATATTTTGAGAAGTTTGGTTTCTGCTGTAGTTACAATAGCAAGTGTTTTTATATCTTTTTCTTAATTTTTGGTTTGACAGATGCATGTTTTTTATGGATATTTTGCAGCTGTTAAATAAGAGCCTGTAATTGTGGTGATCAACGAGGGTGAGAAGCAACCTGTTTGATTGTTTTAGCGCGCAAAATAAGTTGACGCAAGTTAACATCAGATAAATTCGAGTGATTTATGACAATGAACCACTGTCGTAACTTGAGCTCTCTTTTAGGTCAATAAAATGCCAGAAATTTTTCCGTGTTGAGAAATGGAAAATGGTACAAAATTTCCGCATTTAGTTTCCTTGCAGCAGACGTCTGCTTTCACCTTTAATTAAATAACCCGGCCATCTCAAAAAATTTCATTTTCTTGCAACACTAAAACGTTAAAATATATTTTTATAAGTAATCTGGTTAACTTCTGTGCCTATGTATTGATGATCATTCATAAAATATATTGCACAATGGTAAAGTGATTGTTTCCTTTCAAACGTAACTCGATTTCTTTTTTTGATTCGCATTGTCTTCAATATTGAATTGGTTAATTACTCGACTTGATTCCTTCGCCGTACCCCTTATTTTCTGAACTGTAGTCGCACTTGCACTATCTTTGCGTGGATCTTTCACTGTAGGACGTTGGTTGCGGTGACTGTGGCTATTTGGGGATGTACTGGATCTCGAGCAAAAGAATGGAATATTTGCTCGAACAGAACTAGACATGACCAGTAAAACGAGGGGATTCAACATACCATTGCAGTAGCTTAACAGTAAACAGGCCATTCGGATGGTGTCATTAGTCGTGTCTAAAGGAGCTTGGTCAGTCTCCATTATCTCCAGTTGTCCACTCACAAGGGTGATTGTTGTTGAGTTTGAATCGATATACGAGGAAGGAAGCTGAGTTGTGGACTGTACTTCTGTTTGATTGCTGGCGAAGAAATAAACATGAATGAGAAAGAGATAGAGTGGCAGCCAGCATACTGCAAAAATGACAGTGCAAATGACAACTATGACGCAAGTCTTCTTCCGTTTCTCGTTATCACTGTTCTGGTTAGGAGTGTGGATCCGAGGCTGGTAGCTGTCAGCTGCTTTTGATTTGCTGCTCCTGTTGATGTGGCCCAGGATGGAGTAATTGGCGACTGAAATTACGAGCAGAGGGGCGAGGAAGCCGACGGTGAACGCGTAGAGTGTGAACACTTTGTATTGGTTGGCTGAATTAGAATCTTCACTTTCGAGGAAGTAGCATTTCTCCGATGCATCTGACTCTGCATCTTCTAAAGTATGAGAGAGATCAGACAGACGCGAACAAAAAGATAGGATTTATTATCTATCAGTCGTTAAGTCACCAGCAGAAAAAACCATTGCAAAGGGCTCTGATTTTGAAAAAATTTAGAGCCAAACTTTTTATACACAAATTTGTTTAGCGTTTATAGGTTGAAAACTTGTTTGAGCCGTAAAAAATTTAGTTACCTGGGCTTCCATACGACTGGCTGAAGAACCAAAGAGGGCAGCAAAGCAGACATGATAGGATCCAAGTTGCGAGGGATAGAAGCCAGGCGTAGTTTTTGGTTCGGAACTGCATCCTGGTAAGAGGTCGCGACAGACAGAAGTAGCGGTCGACAGACATAACAGTTAAGAGAAACACGCTTGAGAACTGGTTCATAGAGTCCAGAACTATAAGTGTCTGGCACGACATCTCTCCGAATGGCCAGTCTTGAAGATAGAATTCAAGACTGATGAAGGGAAGTAGCGACAAGAAAAGAACATCTGCAAGAGCTTGGTTGAAGAAGAAAATGTTTGCTATTTTGTTCATCTGTTTCTTACGCAGCAGGCTCAAAATTATGGAGCCATTTAAAGTCACGCCAATTAGCGGCAATGAAAACAAAGCCAGAGTAAAGAGTGTTGATGTCATTTGTTGCGATAAAAATTATTGAAAAATCAAATAAGAAAAAAGTAGATCTCAGTAGAATTCGATTTTGTGCGTTTTTCAGTATCCGTTGAAATGTGGAATATGTTAGGGAAATTGTAAGGATTTTGTAGACGTTTTTTGATTGGTTGTTAATTTCTTTTTCTTTCTCTTTGTATATTTTAGGGTAAATTTTACTGTAAAGGTTATATATGAGTCGAGATACGAAGTTGTTATTTAACTTCAAATGGAATTGGCGAATTAAACGAGTGAAAGAGCGTAAAATCTAATCATGCATGAATTGTGGCAATGTTGTTGCCTCTGAATTGTAAATCAAATTATAGGCAGGATTTGGCGGTAACACTATCCAAGAATTGAACACACATCAGCCAGAAACATATTCGCTAGCTTCTCAAATAGACCAGCTCAAATTTGTAACGGAGATAAACATGTCCAAGTTTGGTCTTGAACTCATTATCTGTAGAATATTTGGTAATGATAATGATTTTTGTATTTTCGGAAAATTTTCGAATTTGGGCAGGATTCATAGTATTTTTGAAAGTGAATTATTTCAAGCCAGAATTGTCTCAGATTTGTTTTTCAGTGACCTTGATAACTCCTTGAATAATATCTGTTCACATGACAATCGTTAGTTAGGTCTCTCAATGTCAAGGCAGTTTCCGTCGTCCGCTTAATGGTTCCTTTCCCTTTGATTTTTCGCAGCAGACTTTCTATAAATGTGCCGTAAAAAATTGCGATTTCTTCGCAGCAGACTTTCTATAAATGTGCCGTGAAAAATTGCGATTCTTCGCAATTAACATCAAATCATTGTGAGATCAGATTTTTTTGGTGAAAAAATGCATTCAAGCCTTGAGGCTCCGAATTAGGGCTCGAGGCTGTCATTTTCAGATAGATTGGCTCAATTGAAAAATTCGAAAGATTTTTCGTTGTGATCGATAATTTTATCTTCCTCCAAATTTTGCCCTCGAGTGAGTCTTCATTCTTGCCAACATATAACTAAAATGGAAATTATAAGTGATTATATGGTCTGATTATGCGATTACAATTTATTCTTCCTTTGCTTTAATTGCTACTAGATTATTCAGGAAAAATTTCATTGCATATGTAAATGATGTGAACTTGTTCTCTGCTGTTTCAGACGTGACTGAATGCTAGACTTAAACAAATTTTTTGATAACTAACTTGCTTTCTTTCGATTAAACAATACAAAAACATATTCCGTTCCGTATGGTGCTGTGAAATGAATTGTTTCATACTCAGTGTCATACAATTTGTTTTAATCTTTTGTTTCCCTCTCAAAAACAAAATCGAAGCGTGTGCTAATTTGCAACAAATCTGATGCCGATTGGAAACAAGATTTTCTTCTCTGTGAGATTTTCGGATCAATTGAGCAATCGGACCAATTTAACATCCTCCCCCCTCTCCCCACCCCCTTCCCCTCCCCCAAATACGTTTAGGGGGAGGATGTTAACTTGGTTCTGAGTTCGATTTTTCAGTCAATCAGAATAGACCATTTTATACCATTTTGCACGCAGCGCTTAGCAAATCTATCTATCTATCTATTATATATTTAAATGCGGGCTTCACTATCTCCCCATGTTTAAGCTTTTTCAACGTATTATTTTTGCTTGTTTAAGCTATATCGTCTATTGCAATGGTTAAGAATTTTTTTTTCGATTTTCCAATTTGATTTTAGTAGTTATTTTACCGAGTTTAAATTCAGCTGCCCAATATCTAATTAGGGGTTGCGAATTTGGCCTCCAATTTTGAATGCCGAATCATTTTAGTTAACGAGATAAGACGATTTTTGAGATTTTTTCAAAAATTTTCAGAAATTTCGAATAACAAAATAATTTACAAAACTTGAAGTTCCCAACCCTGCAGTTGGGTACTGTCAGAGTATTATCAAGGATTGCGAGTCTTGCCTCCAAATATGACTGCTCAATTCTTTGTAGTTTTCGAGATATGACGTTTTTTGTGATCTTTTCAGAAATTTTCAGAAAACTTAAATTATTATTTTTTAAAAATCTGAAATTCCCAACCCTGTAGTTCGGTCCTGTCAGAGTACTCTCAAAGGTTGGGCATCTTGCCTCCAAGTATGACTGCTCAAGTCTTCGTAGTTTTCGAGATATGACGTTTTTTCTGATTTTTTCAAAAATTTTCAGAAAACTTAAATTATTATTTTTTGAAAATCTGAAATTCCTAACCCCTGTAGTTGGGTACTTTCAGCGTACTATCAAGGATTGTAAGTCCTGTCTCCAAATATAACTGCTCAAATCCTTGTAGTTTTCGAGATATGTCGTTTTTAGTGATTTTTTCAAAAATTTTCAGAAACTTAAAATTATTATTTTTCAAAATCTGAAATTCCCAACCCTGTAGTTGGGTACTGTCAGAATACTATCAAGGATTGCGATTCTTGCCTCCAAATATGACTGCTCAATTCTTTGTAATTTTCGAGATATGACGTGTTTTTTTGTGACTTTTTCAAAAATTTTCAGAAAACTTTAATTATTATTAATTTTTAAAAATCTGAAATTCCCAACCCTGTTGTTAGGTCCTGTCAGAGTACTCTCAAGGATTGCGAATCTTGCCTCCTAATATGACTGCTCAAATTCTGGTAGTTTTCGAGATATGACGTTTTGTGATTTTTTCAAAATTTTTCAGAAAGTTTAAATTAATTATTTTTCAAAATTTGGAATTCCCAACGCTAAAGTTCAGCGTTGTCAGGGTACTCTAAAGATTTGCAAATCTTGCCACATGCGACTTCTCAAATGCTTTTAATTTCCGAGATGTGACGTTATTGATTTTTTCTAAATTTCTCAAGGATCTGCTCTAAAAAGAAATTCAAAAATTTAAAACTACTAACTTGATGAAGATACAACCTTATTTTCAGCGTAAACCCAGGCGTCTCAAATCTTGCCTCTTATTATGAATGCTTAAATCCTTATCCTTTTAGTTTCCGAGACAAGACGTTTTTTTCAATTTTTTTTTCGGGAAACAGGTATAAAAAAATTCACAAAATTTTGAACTCCCAACCCTATAGTAGGGTGCTCTCAGGGACTCTCAGTGGTTGCAAATCTGGCCTCCAAATTTCTCCAGAAGCCCAATAAGTTTTCGAGATGTTGCTTTTAAAATGGGAATTTAAAAAAAACAAAAAGTTCGAAATCACCAACCCTGTAATTGGGTGCAGTCAGTACACTAAAAGTTCGCAGATGTTGTTTCCAATATATGCGGTTTTTCATGAGTTGTCGAAAAATTTCGATGCACCGGATGTGCGTTAAACGCTAGTTTAATTTAAATTAAACGGTGGGGCGGAGGATCTTCAATTGGTCAATTTGGTGGGGAATGAGGATGTTAACTTGATCCGAGCAATCTCCCACCACCCTTTATGACCAATTGAGCTATCTCCCTTCAAGCAAAAACGGTTAAACGCTACAAAAAGACGTCAGCAAACGCAAGTAGAAGGTTGATTTGTTTGTAGCACGCAATCAATAGACCGACTGAAGTTTATTTATATGAGTATCAAAAAAAGTTTTGAAAAAGAAAAAAAAACCGAAATATATTTAAAAAAAAATTTTTTTTGCAAATTTTTGTTTAAGAGACCATAGCCTCATCGAGGAAAGCCTATTTGAATAGCCAAAACGGTTCTCTGCAGCACCTTATTATTACTCGCAATAGTTTTTTTGTCCTTTTAGGACCGAAAAAGTCGCTTTATATGCCTGTTTTATTGATTCTTTTTTCACTGAATGAAATTTTTGTGCTTCGATATTGTAAATTTTGGCTTTCCACATTCGTTGGAAAATCTGTTTTATGATTTTTTATCCTACAAACTATTTTTAAGTGGCTATAAACATGTCTCAAGTACCTATTGAGCTATATGCCCCCCTCCCCCCAGCCCCACGCGAAAAAAGGGGAGGGGAGATTGCTCAATTGATCCAAATTTTCTTCTCTGATTAACTTGTGTTTTTTCCAGCCTAAGTAGCAAATTTTGTTGCGACAAAATGTGTTCATTTTGATCAATAACCAGCTATGAAGTACAGCCAATACCAAGAATATTAACACAGACTATTATATTACAAATAGCACTTAAGCTTCAATTTTATTATGGATCTGTAGCGTAGAGTTAGGGAAGGAGTTCTGCAACAAAACAAGACGGTTCAAACCTGGGCAGGGTCGGATGTTTTTAAAGCTGGGGCGGAGGGTCTTAATTTGTTCCCTTTGGGGGGGGGGGAGGATGTTAACTTGATCCGAGCAATCTCTCCCAAACCCCCCGCCCCCCCTTATGACCCTTTGAGCTCCCCCAAGCAAAAACGGTTAAACGCTACAAAAAGACGCCAGCAAACGCAAGTTGATGGTTGATTTGTTTGTAGCACGAAATCAATAGACCGATTGAAATTTATTTTATATGAGTTGTGGTACAGCACATTTGCATGTGCATTAATTATATGTTAACCTTGCTGTACACTAACCCTGAGTTTCATATTGCTATCTGTAATCATATATTGTTATTATATCAAGGTTGTTCAGTGTTGATCACTGAGGCGATTCATATGAGAGGCAGATCTCCATACGGTAGATACGGAATTCGGTCTGACCTGAAAGCTTTTAGAGAAAACCAAAAGAAATAGTTTCAAAGTTCAAATTTACATCTTGAAACCGACATTGTTTTCACACCAGTATTATACCATTCTATCCCTTACCACATGGCGCAGCCAGCAGGATTCATGACACAGGACAACCGAACGGACATAGGCATTCCTGTTTTCTCGACATCAGCAAGTTCGGATCCTCCGTGGAATTTCAAAATTTGATTTGACTAATTTTTGTTAGCGGTGACGGTAAAAGCAAACGTGAATCCTAAGATATTAGTAGAAGACCCAAAAGCAGTTATTGAAGAACCACTTCCTCGTTCAGAGACTCCAGGAACAAATGAAGATGCACAGGCAGTAACGGACAGGGAAGCAAGAGACAGACTAATAAGGGATAAAGTTATTCTCGAAAATGAAGAAAGAAGGGAGCACGGGCCCAAAGTAGCTCATAACGTTTTTTATAAGGAAGTACAGA